ATATATATTAAACTATATTTTTTATATAATAATTATATTATTAACATTAATATTTTATTTTTTATTAAAAAATTAATGCTTTTTTTTTATATTCGTAGGCAAATTTGCCTGCTTTACAGTTTAAGGGATAATACATCTACTTTACCTGATTTACAAACTCTTGTAAATATTATGATAATGCTTTGTATCTATCTCGCTAAACTTATAACTTTATGTATTACAAATGTCAGAGTAATGGGTTATGTGAAAAATTGAGGCCAGTCAGACATTCCTAGAAATTTAGATCTATAGAAAAGAATCAAGAACAAGTATAAGATGGTATATGTAAAATGTAAAATCCATGAAGAGGATCATGAGCCTTATTTGATTAAGGTATTAATTGATATATCGTTAGCTGAAAATATTATTAGAAAAGCTTAGTTGATAAACTTAGAATAAAATATAGCAATCATCAAATTAGTATCTGATAGTAATAAAGTTTTAAATAATTTTGTAGTCTGCAATAAAGATGGTCACTGTAATTAAAAAAATGGCGCAATTGAGTTGCAACTTATAGTACAACTTAATTAAAATTTGAAAATAATTATATATGAAACAAAAATTAATCCTTATAGTGAAAGAATTTTAATCTATGGTGGAGTTATATTATTCTGCAAGAATTTAGAATTAGTTTATATTCTATCCAATGATTTAGAGAGTGATACATTTGGTCTGAAAATAGAAGCTATACATGTGCATAAGACTGAAGCGGTAGGCTCAAAGAGCTATGATTCTTTGAATCGTCTAATGGCCTACTCTGCAATAAGAAAACGTCCTATTCTAAAGCGTAAAGATAAAATTAATTATTACTACATAAAATCAGAACATGATTATTAAACTAGAATATATATCAATGATAATTTACTTTTGATTTTAGACATGGTCACTGATCGATGTTAGCTGATTTTTTGATAAAAACTTTATATAATTGCTGAGGAGAGACATTTGGAAATAATGGTAGTCCCTTACTAGTAAACCAAAATTTTTTTACCACCCTATCAACGAATTTTTTTATTAACACACCTGAATCATCTTTTAAAGGGCTGTAGAATTTCTTAAACTTTCAGAAGTACACATTTTTATCAACTTCTGCTATTTCTTGATTAGTATAACCGACAATATCAAGTTATTTCTGAATTGAGATTATATCCTCTTCCAAGTATAAAAGCAAATTAAATAATTTCAAAAGTGATAAGCTGAAAGAACCTCTATTATTTTGATTTACTACATTATTATATTTCACTGCCAGAATAGGATTGCCATCAATGTTAAAATTTTCTTATATTGGTATTAAATCTTCCACCAAATGTAATAATAACTTATATGAATCAGCAAGTGTTTTTCCATCAGCTCATGTTTTATTTGCTTTAATGTATTATCATTAAATACCAAGTTTTTCTTGAATTGCTATTATATCCTTCTTCTTATATAAAAGCATTTCATATAAAGAAGCAAATGTTTTGCTTTGATCAGATTTATTATTAGTACTACTTATCATATTTGCTATAATAAATAACTTGACTAGTCAAATACAATGACTTCCATAATTATTGTACTACTTCATTTGTAATTTTTAGATTGTAATAAATAAAAATTTAATGATCAAATGATTTGCAGATTTAATTAATGTATTGTCTGAGTCTTCTTTTATAATATATTCAAATTCAAATTTCTTATTTATAATTTTAAAAAAAAATTCTTTTATAATCATAAATTTTATGATACAATACTTCTGATGCATATAAAAATAAAATCAAAAACAAATTTTTCAAATTTTTTTTAACTATGCTCTAATTTTTTTTAATAAAACTATTACAATATCATATATCCCTTAGCCTTACATATATCTTTAACTTGTGACATAATATCAATTAGCTTTAAATAAAAATCAGCATCAATTTAATTTCATACTAAATGTATCCTATTCTACAAATCTTCTGCACTAGTAATATTATCAGGAAATTGTCACAAATAATGATCAATTTCATTTCACAAATGTTTAATGGGGTTTAAGTCCAGTGATTATGCTGGCTAATCTAAAAATTTTAATGTTATTTTCATTAAATTACTCATATGTTTTCTTTGCTATATGTTTTAGGTCATTATCTTATTAGAAAATGACATCATTTACATTCAAATCACATGCATTAAGGGTCCCTAAAAACTCATCTCCCAAAATTTCTCTATATAAATCATCTATTCTTCCATCAATTTTACAATATTTTCCAATGCCAAACAAATCCATATAATCCATATTATTACAGAATCTCTATCAAATTTTACTGTTGGTTTAATATGCCAATCTTCTATAATTCAATTCTTATATTTTTGTGCAAATTTTTTTCGTGCTTTCTCTCTTTAACAGCAATGGTTTTTTTTAACTCTAGTTAAAAACCTTGCCTTTTCAATGAGCATCGAATAGTATTTGGTAAAATAACAATATTTTTGTTGGAAATTAAAGATTTTTGAATTTGAATAGCATTTATATATTCACTTGACTTTTCGCGAGAAGCAATTGTATGACTTGATAAACCTTCTTGGATAAGGCAAAATACGTTCCTTTTGGTGAAGTAGAATTATTATAATATGGGAGTATTTCTAGGAAAATCAGGTTCCAAGAAATTTTTGACTAAAATAAAGAGCTTAATACATTTTAATCTAATAACATCAAAAACTAAAATGCAATAAAAATCTCAATTTTGCTAAAAAATTTCCGTAACCTGATTTGCAATCAACCTATATATTTAAAAAAAATCAAAAGAAAAGCGTATAAATTGATCTACTGATTTAAATTTACTTATATGTATAAGATGCGTTATACAATCATAACATTTTGTAGTATAGAAAACAGACCTATTTTTTTCTAATTGGTCTTTATACACAGTAATACAAGTCTTGTGCTATTATATTAAAATATTTATCATCTCCATAAAGTTTTCGGTCAAAGATCATCAAAACACTTGCAAAGTATATTCTTTTTTTGGTAAGATCGCCTTGCTCAAGTTAACCTGCAAAGTTAAATATAGAGTACTCTTAATCATAATGGATTAAGATTCTCACTTGATTACCAATAGTTAGTAGATTTCATTTCAGATAATATCACCTCACCTATCCACCTTGCGAACCTGAGTTGTATATATGCATATATTCTGTAATGGCTTGTCATTTTATTAGCTTTAGCTTTGGTAACTTTTTGTTTTGTATGAATTATCATTTAAACTAAAATTGGGATTATTTTTTATGCGACACATACTATCACCTATCAGTTGCCATTTTAAGTTTTAATTTATTGATGTAAAAATAACTGAACTATGTTCTTTTTTTTTAAAAAAAATTTTTTATAATAATAATAAAATTCTTTTTTAGTTAGTTAAAAAGAGAACTATGGCAAAGGCAAATTACGGATTATTCTAACCAGGCTTGGTTTTTATTTTATTTTCAAAATATTTGTGAAGTTAAATTTTATTTTAAAAAAAATACTATAGAATTTGAAAGAATAAATTGTTAAAACTAATATTGTAGTATTGTAATAAATTGGCTTTGATCAGACTTGGTTTTTTTTTTATTAAAGATGAATAAAAAAGAAAAAAAAAAAACTAAAAAAAATTTTAATAGAATAAAGTTAATAGATAGATGTGTTTGTAAAAGAAAGTATAAAAAGGTGTGTTTTGACTACTTGTTAAAAATTTAATTAAAAAAAAATTTTAAATCTAAAATCATATTGTGTAAAAAAAACTTGTTATACAAATAATTTTGTAGAATATCAGCATATCAGCATTGTTAAAAAATGATTTTACGCCTAGATCGGCATATACATATCAGTATATCACTATATTATCTTATTATTTTACAATTCTATTAGTTAGGACTTTGTAGGACCGGATATTTATTAGTCCTAAAATACAGACCTAAAGATCTGCAGACCTGATTCTAGGACTAAGCCTTTAGGTCTAGGACCTAGGACTTTACCATCCTTAATTGGGAATGTGCTTCTGGTGCTAGGTTGTCATACCCCTTAACTGAAAATCAGAGACCTTAAAGGATCACTTTGAGGATAATATTTACTTAGTTAATAGGTATTCCTCTAGTAGATCTTAAGCCACTGCACATTAATAGGGAAAAATATATATATATATTTTTGCATATCAAAACTACCTGGTTTCCTAGAGAAAATAAAACACAAGAAACCTTTACTACCAGTCCTCTGCTAGTCCAAAACCTAAGAATAGTGAAATGATAGTTCCCGGCAAAAATAACACTATAGACAAAGATTAGGCTTTTGATGCATCTGAAAATATGCTAAATGATAAAGACACTAACAAAAATACTATTACCTTTGAAAGAGTTAGAGACACTACTAATTTTTATGTTTACTGTACTGCAGAAACTTTCCTTCCCAATAAATCCTTTTGCAAAAAAACCAACAAAGCTTGCGAATTGTTAAATGACAAAATATTTGTCATTCATTAGTGCGTCAGTAAAGCAAAATCCTAAAAATAAAACGTTGAAAATTATCTGACCTGAGCTTATCGATCAAGGTAACTGAGATCCTCATTTCCACTTTTGAATAGATCATCTGATCAACATTTGCCCGATTCGACACGATCATTAAATGCTCTATGATGACAAAAAACCTTTGGCAATAAGGGACCATCTCATATACACCTGAGACAGATCTATTATTTTTTAACACTCATGCAGGCCTATTCGTCCTGAAAGATATAATCAGAGTATACATGTGCTCTCTTACTAATAACGAAATTAGAGCTAAATCCCAATTCATCTTAAAACTTACTAATCTTCCAAAAGATACAACTGGCAGAGAATTAGAACCAATTGGAAAGGCCGTGAATGCTGCCACCTGAGTGATCTCTAAAGCCAGATCAAGCTACCAGAATCTTCAATACGCCTTTATGCACTTTCACAATAAAGAGGATATGGAAGCTATAAAAAATGGAGATCTGATCAATTTTGACAATTGAAAACTTATCTGGATTGTGCTAAATGCCACCTTGTGTGTATTCTAGAACATGATTCACATAACTGCAGAAAAAGAAGACCCAACCCCAAAGATAGACAAACTCAAAACCTGTATCAAAGATTCAAACCAGCACAATTTAAAAACTATTCAGCACCTGCGCTATGCCTTAAAGTTACCTTCGTTTACGATTAAGACACAATTTTTGATCCTAATAATCCATGATCGTTTGCAAACAAGACTAAAATTGCTAAACTTACGGTTATCCCAAATTCAACTTCTTCCAATGACAACACAAAACCCAAATAATCATCCCTCAATAAGTCGATTCATACCCGTAAATCATAGTCTGAACAAATGAAGGAGATGGATGCTCTGTACAGATTGACCAAAGCACCTGTATATGAGTTAACCGATACATAAAAGATTTTAAACAAATTAGATATCATTATTGCAACATTGGTCACGCTTCATAATGACCTTACCTTCTCAATGCATTGTCTCGACGAAGTTGTAAAACCCTCAATATTTTCAATCTCACCCTAAAGAAAGTCGCTGAACTCAACAAAGCTAATAAAGCAGAAGGTGTTATGGACACTGATACCATATATGAACCTGAAGTAGCTACCTGAGTGATCTTCAAAGCTAGATCAAATTACAGAAATTTACAAACTAAACTTCGTATTATTAACATTTATGTCTCTAGCTCAAATAATCAACTACATGATAAAACCTACAGAAAAACATTAGATCTTATAAGCGATGCTCACCAAAAGAACTCTCTAGTGATACTCCTTGGTGATTTTAATGCTGATCCATCAAGAGCCCATAATTCTACAAACTCAATGGATTTTTTTGACTTGCTCAATGACTTTCACTTAATTAACAATTTAAATTTAGTTAAAAATCAAAAGTCAACCAA